CACAGTATTAATCTTCCAGAGTTCATTTATATTCCTAAAGTTCAACAAGTGCTAAAGGGCTTTGCTGTACTTGAGCTTGCAACACCTTAAAAGCTCTTCAGTTAGCAGCCTTCAAATCAAGGTCCCAAAGTCCTCACCACTGATCAGAGAACCAACGACCTGGGAGGTAGCCCTGGTCCTGATACAGTTCTCCTTTGTCACAAAATTCTGTGAACCTCAATGACCTGGACCCAGTGGCTTTGCCTGGGGATCTGGACTCACCCATGTGTGATTAACCAGAAGATAAATCAAGTGATCAGCAACTTTGCTGGTGTGTTATCCTGGGGCCTCTGTCAGGAACAGATGACTAGGGGAAGTACTAGTTAGACACAGATTAACCCAAGATATTCTGTACCTGGGAGTAGTTTGGAATGAAAACATGAAGGCTAGTCCTTCAGAGTTATGAATAGATATTTCTTCTGTGGTTTGAACCTGCTATATGCTTGACTTAACTGCTGCACATGCACTGATCCAAATGTCCATTTCTTGCTTCACCTCTGTCATAGACATCAAGTGCAAGAATTGGTCACCACTTGCAAACAATGGTAGCTGTTTGGGGCATAACCTATTTATTATTTACACTCGGTTAAAAACCTCATCTAGAAAGGTCCAGTTTACCTGGTGAGTTTCCATAGTGTTCTTCCCTGAGGTATCCAAGGGCTCCACAACACTCCCTTGTTTCACATTTCTCCATGCAGTAGTCCAGGCAAAAAAGAACGCATTTACTCTGACTGCCAGATTTCCTTGATTAGATTTCAAAGTTTCAGGTATTACACAGGATATAATAATTCAAGGCAAAGCTACAACTGCTTGTAGAAAACTTCGTTCTAAAGTTGAGACCCTAGTGCCTCATTGCAAACAACTCAAAAAACACCAAATGATTGGGAATCCATCTATGAATGAGTGAAATGATCCACCTTGAACCACCAAGGAAGGCATGACAGAGGTGCCCTAGGCAGGATTCACACTCAGTCAAGGCTCAGGATGGAGTCCCCCGGCTCTATCTTGCCGTCAGTCACCCCAGACTAGCATATCTAGACCCTGGTTCCCTGGACAGGACCCTGGTGCTAAGATCCAGTCCACTTTGCAACATTTTCTGCTTTGCCCCTTGCCCAAAAACCTGCAAAGGAAAAGAGGAACAATTATCCCAACATCATTAAAATTGTAGCATTAAATGGGGTATATATGCCACATTCCACTAGTTTGTGCTGTCATAGGTGATGCTGAGAGCTGCAGGCAGTAGGAAAGTCCTGAGGAGATAGAAAGAGTAGTGGAGAGGGAAACAGAGGAGGCAGATGTCTCTCTCCTTGCACTCGGGTACTGACCATTAACATGGAGAGAAGCAAGGGTAGGCCAGAACAGCTATGGATACAAGGCAAAGGAGACACTGCTTGTGGCTCAGGGGGAGAGTATCATCCACATGCCCCACAGCACTCTGTGCAGCCACAGGACTCACTCCCACCTCTTCCTCCAGCCTTGTGCATTCATGGAAGCCCACCTGGAGAAGGCAATGTTGGCTGGGACAGCGCTTGCTGGTAAGAGGAAACTTCTCTTCCAGTGCCTTTCTGTATTTCCCATGTTTCCTGACCTGGAGGGCATGCTTGCAGCCAGCTTCTGGGAAGGGAGTTTAGTCCACACCAAGGCCTGCCACTGTAGCTGGCAGTGAAACATTAACAGACAACTGATGATCTGAAGAGGGTCTTGCCCATGGCATGTCTCTTACAGCAGCCCTACAGGAAGCCCACCTAACTCCTTCTCTTTGCTGCCACACACAGGTTTTCAGACAGCCCAAGAGTTTCTTCTCATGAAAGACTCATTGTGACCATGCCAGGCTCTGCTTTATCTTACTGCTCTAAAGAGTCTACCTATAAGCACTTGCCAGCCATGCTGCTTTTGGCATGTCCTTGAAACCTTAACACTGTTGTTTCCATTTCTTCCCCCCAGTGTTCATCCCTCATGACAGTGTTCATCTCTCATAGCACACTCACATTAGACATGTGAGAGACCCTCATGTTCAGCACAGCTGTAAAGGGAATACCAGGGAGAGTGCCTGCAGTGTGGGCCTTGCCACCTTGAGGAAGGATCTCTGAAACAGCAGAGAGAAGAAAGCAGACATCTTCTTTCTTTATTTTTATGGATCGCCTGCAGGTCAAAGCCCAGAGTGAAGTGGTTTTCTTCACTTCTTCAGGTTTATATGGGTTGCAGCCAAATGGCAGGTCTGGGTGTCCCTGGCTGCCACTGTGTCACCCTGCCTGAGCAAACACACCTGGTCCTTCAGCTACTCTCCGGGGTTCTTGCTTGCTTTCATATTTCAGGCAAAAAAGAGTGTCTTGGTGAAAAATATCCCTTTCTCAGCTATTTGCTATATTGTGGTCCTTTCTTTTTTTGCGCTCGGATAAAACTCCTGTGTACCAGCTCCTTTCGAAGTGGGTCTTTGGGTTCCAGTCCTGCTGCCTTTGGTCCCTTCAAAAAACATCTTGCATCACTTTGCTGAGTCCACCTTGTCCTCAGTGTTAAATTAACTATATAAAAATATTAAATCAAACAAATAATTGGTTACACATGCTACACTAGTTCTTGAGTTTCCAATGTACCGTTTATAGTGTTTAATTTTCTAAGTAAAAAGGAACTCTATCCCTCAAGCAATGCACACTGTGGCATCAGTAGTATTTAAATTTGCAAATTCATGGCATAAACTTCCACCATCCTAGTGAGTGGGGCTCACTGCTGTAGAAGAAATAAGATGCCATTTTAGTACATTTTTTTTCTGTCTGTCTCTCTCAAACCATAGTCTTATTATTGTTCCAGAAAACTTTCCAGAGAAACTTTTGCATTATGTCAGGCACTGCAACCACAAATGGGAAATTTCTGCACAAATGGCTGTAGACTGGAAAAGCTACAAGAAAATGAAATCAGTCTAGACAAGCAACAGTAGAAAATCAACAGGCATTTCTAGCAAGGCTGTATGTAGTAACAATGCATATAACTCTTCCTAGAAGAAAATGTTGGCATCATGCTGAGTCCAGATATCTTGCAGTTCCTCTTCAAAATTGAAATTTATTTCAGGTGGAACCCTAGAAGATAATTTTGTTTAAAAAAAAAAAAAAGAAATTACTACCTTGAAAAAGACATCTAACAGCCTTTGCTGTGCACAAAAACACTCAGGCTGTGCATGCAAAAAGACAAGAAAACAAGATATAAGTAAGAAAGAGAAATATACTCTGTAAACAAACAACTAAGCCCTTTACTCTTAATGTACCTTTGAGAAGCACCATTCTTCTTCCCCATGGCAGAGTTAAGGTGAGGTTAGGTTTAGAGTCGGGGTCCCAAGGCCCTCAGAGCTGGAAATCCCCCAGCATCATGCTTGGTGGAAGAGTTTAAAAGAGACAAAACACTATGGTCTAGATAACTGATGCTTGGAGGGAAGATGGAATGACTATCTGCAGAATTCTGAACTTGTTCATAGTGGTGTATAATTATAAGCAATATCAGAGAGGAAAGTTTGAATCTAAAAATATATTTGCCCAGAGTAAGCCTTAAGTGTCAGGTAAGGTTAGAAAATTTAGAGATTGCATGTCCTTTACTGAAGCTAGGAGAGATACTGCTGTGATGACAAAATGTAGGTACAATTTTAAGAGGGAAAACATACTATCACAAGGACTTCTTGCCCTTCTCTCAAAGGGAGAAAAATACAGCTATACACTCCTTACTGTGAAACTGAGCTTGCCTTGCCTCCAGGACCTGCCTGTGTTCACTGCTCTGGCGTTTGCAACCACAGAAGCATTCCTTGGTAGAAGGTTTTGTTCACCAAGTACTTAATTCTCCTTTCATTTGAGGTTAACCCAGGTTTCACCCCTCTACTCTGAACTGCAGGACCCACCCCCCAGGGTTCCCTATTAGGGCTGCCAGGCAGTGGGGTGAGCAAAAGGAAGCTGCTAATGACAAATGCTGATATGCAAACTACCCACCCTTCCACAGCCTTGTGACAGTGACAGCCAGGACAGGCCATTGAAGACCCGCTCAGATTATATGTTAAGGAGCACTGGCTGTGCTATCACTCAGATACTCAACAGGTCACTCACCCAGAGGCTTGGTCTCCTTTTCTCCTGTTGCTTCCAAGGAGCAGGAGCACAAAAGCACATTTTCATCCTCCCTGTTCCTAATGAGGAGGTTCCTGGGGCAACCAGGGGAATCTCCACTATCACTTCAAGTGGCTACCTTGGATTTGCACTACAGGTAAAAGTCTCCTCCACTCCCAGTAGTGTTCCATGCCAGCTATCCACATGTCATTAACTCCCTCTGAAAACCCTGCTTGATTCCAGAACATGATTTTCCACTGCACAACCATCTGCAGTGGCTGCAGTGGTTCACAGTTTCCCCCCCCCCCCCAAAAAAAAAAGAGGCAGTTTTCATTCCAAACTGAGGCAAGTCACTGTGGAAAAATATTAACAGAGTGTGTCTCTTCTGTGGCCACATCTGCACAATTTTATCATGTAATTATACCTTGGCTCCTGCCAATGAGAGATCTATTAGCTAAAAGCTCCTCAGAAAAAGGGAAGCCTTAGTGCATAAATTAATGCAAATCAAGCCTGGGCTCTTCCCTCCCATGATGTTTGGAACTGTTATGATCTCTGTGTTGCTGTAAAAAATTAATGTTCTGCTGAAGCCTGGGGACAACAAGTTGATGAGAGGGGAGACAAGGGCAAGGCAGAAGACAAGGTCCAAGACCTCATCTTTACAGTCCAGATGAGAAGGAAATATTCAGAAAATAGTCTGGTTTGTGGATTGGTATTGGAACCATGTGGTGTGTCAACTTCAGTTTTAATGAAATTTTTTTAAGAGACTCATGTAAAACGAAATTTTTTTGTACAGAATTTTATTTGATCCCTGAATAAAACTGATGTGACTTTTTGTTGTGTTCCAGTCTTTTTTCCTATCACTAGATCTTTGTTTCGTTCCAGGTGCAGTCTACCAGAAGTAGAGGTGATGACACAGCTCTGAAGAGCACCTGCTTTATTATACAGGTATCAAAGTCATTAAGTCATTCCCATGAGTGGCAATTGATTTTCTTCTCTTCTGCCATGCAGCACCTCAAACACAGTCATAGGCACTTACCTGTGAGTGGTGTACCCGTGCAGAGGTTGACAACCCTCACCTCTCTACAGGAGGCACGAAGGTTGATTTCTTCAGGGAAACAGTGGGTGGAAAAGCAGGAGGAGGATTTGCACCAACAAACAGGCTGGGTTACCAGGAAAACAAAGACAGTATTTTGGGAGGATGCTACAAGAGTTCAAGAGAGAGGAAATGGGAAAATGTCCCTAGTGTAGATCTGTGTCCCTGGGTGTGGTGGTTTGAGAGCCCCAAAAATCCAATTTCCAAATCCAAGCCCCCCTCCCACAATTTGTTTCAGTGTGAGAGGGTTTTCCACATATAACACAACTCAGTATGGGGGGAGGGGATTATATTACTGTTTATTACTTACACAAATAAATACTATAATACATTATATACACAATTCTAACTATCTCTCCTATGGTAAAGCAATATATTTACATTGGATCAAGTCCCTCCTTTCCCTCCAATAAAAGTTCAGAAGAGCAGCAGTGTCTCTCCTCTTCAAGACAGCAGTCATAGCTGGAGTTGTTGTAGCTGGAAAATATCTTTCTCTCTCTCTGCATTACAATGCAAGGGGTCTCCTCTCACCCCTCGGCCCTTTGGCTCCAGCCAAAGGTCTCTCTCCTGTGGACTGTGATAGCCGGGTCAAAGGCTCGCCTCACCATGCCATATCACGAAGTGCAGGGCATCTTCGTGAAAATCCCTTCATCAGGGAATTCAAGCTCCTCCTGAGTCAGAACGTTTAGGGCAGCTCTCAGTTCAGTCTTTGCCGCAAGCGTTCTACCAGAGCTCCTTTGCTCTGCCTCAATTGCCAACGTGGCAGCGGGGTGGGGCAAGGCCACTTCCCCCACATTCCGTCCTGGTCCAGCTCTCAGGACGACTCCGAGTTCTCAGCTCTTCTCTCTCTCTCTCTAGCTGCTGCTGCATTTCAGGACTCCCTAAGAGTTTGGAAGCCCACCCCTCCTTTCTAGGAGGTCTCAGGGTTTTGGGAAAGTAATTCAGTCTTACCCCAAAACAGCTCTGCTGAGTTTTCTCTGCTCTGTTGCCAGCTTTTGCTCCTTGCAGGACATCTCTGTGTCTCTCAGCCTGGCTATGTGCCATGTTGCTGGTTGCAGGCTATCTTCTTGGCTTTCAGCCACAGCTCTCCACTCAGCACTGCCTCTGCCAACGCTTTTCCGTCTTCTGCTGCCCATTCACAGCCCAGCCTTTGAACACAGCACCCAATCCAGTTTTAACACCGTTCTGGTTTTCTGTAGCCCCAGCCGGGGGCTGAGGGGCCTTGGCCCCCAGCAGGGCTCCCTGGCCCCTCTCTCCTCGTGGTCTCAAACCATGGCTGCCTCTCTTCTTCCAGCTACGTCATCTCCCTTTTTTTCCATCCTGTTGCAATATGTTGATTTCAAAGGAGCAAAATGTAGCTTCTGATTGGGCCCTACACCAAGACCACCAACCTCAGGGGTTACCACTTTTCTAACTCCAGGGGAAAACACTTTTTACCCCAGGACACTGGGTTAAGTGGTGTTTGCACAGAGACGCCTCTCCTTTCTTGTTTTCACCTTCAGTCCAAGAGACCTTGCTCACACCACCAGGATTTAGTCTGAGCCTTCAGCATCAACAAGACTGTGCAGGGTATTTCAAGGCGTTCAGTTTCACTTGGAAGTAACACAGAATTCAAGTGCTAGCCCCCTGAAAATGCCTACTTCAGACATGTCAGGAAATGAGCAGATAAACCAAATTGGAGATGGCTCAAATCTTCTTAGCAGCATAGCAATGTTCAGCTCAGAGTTGCCAAAAAGGAAGATATAGCGTGCATTGATGTTTACCCTTGGAAAAGAAGACCAGTAGGAAGTTCTTTCACAGAACTGTGAAAGAAATGGATGAAGACCTGTTATTCTTGCTGGTGCCAGGGCAGAGAGACATTTGGAAGCATTGTCTGTGGCCACACTTCTCCCCACAGTAATGGTCACTTCCCCATACCCTACTACTGGTAAAGAGGTGACAAGATTGGACAGTCATGGGGCAGCACAGTTCTCCAGTTGGGAGAGACTGGAGTCTTCTGAGGAGTTGGGAATGTTGGAGGCAGTGACTGCAAAAAGACTTCCCTCTGCAACAGCCACAATGCAGCCACTCCAATCTTCTCCCTGCAGCAACCACAGTGCTCCCTGCCTAGCTTTCCAGCCTGGGGCCACAGCTATTTTGCCCATTGTGGCTCTTGACAATGACTTATTTTACTTTGGCTTGACATGTCCTGCAACCAGGTCCTGCAAACAGGTCCTGTTCTGGTAGTGTGGCAAATGACCCTACAGTGTTCAAAGTACTAGTAGACTCTTTGTCCTTCCCTACAGGGTCTGAAGAAGCTTTTTCCCATTTGCTGTCTGTCATTCCCATTGAGCAGTCACACACAGTGTTCAAGTCCTTGAAGCTGGTGGAAGCAGGATTTCCCATGAGGCTTGTTATTACTTGGCACTTATCTCAGACAATCCTAACCACTGCAGAGGAGAGTAGTGGTGATGAGTCAACCAGCTGCTGCCACGGCGCTGGCTGCTACTGATGCATTGGAGATCTGCTGCCCCTGCTCCCATATCCGGTTTTCACTGATGCTGCACCAGTGGGTACCCAGACTGGGGAGGCTTTACAACCCCACAGAAGTGTTGCAAAAAAGTGAATATATTACAGGACACACAAACAGTGCAAGTCCTGCTCCTTTGTCCTTGTTGACTTAAATAATTAGTCCAGTTCTGGCAATAGCAGAGAAACTCAGAGGGGGTTTTTTTTTGGGGGGGGGGGTGTCTTTTTGAGAGAGAGTTTACTCAATTAAACCACTGTTTCTACTCTTCCCTGTTTGAGCCAAAAATGTCCTTTCACCTCCCATCTCTACCTTGAGAAAGAGTTGATGCCCGTCTGAAAGGGTGTTTCCTAAGCATAACCCAAGCCAGACCTGTGTCAGTGCTCAGGCAGGCGTGCTTGGACTCACCCAGCTCCACGAACAATGCTGTAGCTAGAGGGAGGTGCCAAGTATCCCAGAAAATTTGCTCTATGGCATTTCTTGCATGTAAGTGCTAAGAAGAATTTATTTCCTTGTTTGTTTTCTTCACTGCTGCTTAGGGGATATTTACCCTTTGTTAGGCTCACATTGCTGGTCAGGAAAAGGACTCCCCAGGCAGCAGGAATTCGATGTCCAACAGTTTATCTGCAACTCTAGTCCAATTTGTATTAATAAAGTTTGAAGATTATTTAGTACTTCCAGTCTTCTGGCCAGCTGCAGAGGGGTTTGGAAATTCAGGACAGGCCTACACTCACAGTAAAACATAATACATGCAACAATATATGGTTTAATAAATATTTTCATATACTTAATCTGATAAATGCAGCACATGCTGTAATGGATATATGACCCTGGTTACTTACAATCTTCATCAACAGTTTGTATAAACATCAAGATCCCAGCTGCTCAACTGCCCTTGCTTGTATTCTGGATTTTCTCCCAATTTTACTCTGCAAATACAGAGAAAATAAACACAATGTAACAATGCTTTGGGCAGGAATCTTCACCCATTTACCAGTGCGAAGCTCCTGTAGACACCTGTCACTCGACATTTCACACTCCCCTTTCTGCTGCACCGATGGAGGCTTTGCTGCCCGTGAGCACAGTGGTGCAAGGGCCAGGGCAAGCAGCCAGGCAAGGTCCCAGAGAAAGCTATCTCCAGCAAGCCTACAGACAAACATGACATGATCATGTGTGGCATCTCCCTCCCACCCCAGTCCATTTGGTCACACCTCCAGTGACTGATACTTCAGCAAGGAGTCTGTGGCTGCAGAGTGCCTGTGGTGAACACTGAACCATGCCCATGGTAGCTGCACTGCTCCCCATGAGGCTCTTTCCACCTGGGTCCCCTCCAGCCCCAGGCACAACTACATGTCCAATGAGTCTCCAGAGGAGAAAATAGCTCCTGGGGGCTCTGCCACAGCTCAGCAGCTGAAGGTCAGGATGGGCTCTTGACTTGCAAAATCATTCAATTAGAGGAAACAGGTCTGGAAAGATGTTTAGGAGGTCTTCTAGTGCATTCCTACCCCAAAGCAATCATTGTATGCTAATCACCACTGATGCATGTCTGCTCAGACTTTGCCAAAAATCCTCCAGTGATAGAGATCTTGCAACCTCCCTAGGTTTAACTATCGTTATCGAGAGAACTCCTTTGGCCAATCTCAGCCTGCTGCAGTTCTCATCCATTATTCTTTGCCTCAGCCAGACAGGGGCCAGGTCATTGCCTTCCACTTTGCAGCAATATTCTGTACCATTGCAGGTTCTTATCCTGCCAACCACCCGCAGCGGCTGTGAGCTGTTTGTAATGCTGGGCACAGAGACTTGCTGACCTTCTCATTCCCTTCAGACCCTCGGTGATTGCACTCCTACTTTGATAAGTCCCTGAACCAATGCCTACCTCCCCAATGAACTCCTTACCTCTCCCACTTGAGTGGGGACTCCCATACAGCCACCAGCCTCCCTCCCACACTAACTCTCCTCGAAGCCCACCTTGGCCCCTTACAGCTGGCTCCCAGCCTGGGTCTACCTGGCATGGAGGCAGCCCAATCAGGAAGAAGACAGAAAAATTTGGGGTAGATTTTCTCTCCTGAGCTCCCTGCATTGTCCTCCCCACATCCTCCCACAGCAGCACTAGCTACAGACTCCTTACTGAACTACTCTTCCCACGACTCCCTCTCCCCTGTTCTCCCAGTCTCGATTACACTGTCCCAGCTCTCACGCTCGTTATGTACAGGTCATGTTTTCCAGACTGCTGACCATTTTTGTTACTTTCCATTGGACTCTATCCAACTGGGCTTCCTTCTGGAAGCTCAGTGTCCTCAGCTGAGCAGAGCATCCCCACTGGGGACTCACACATGCTGAGAAGAA